AAAAAAAAAAAAAAAAAAAAAAAAAAAAAAAAAAAAATCCAAGGAAAAGACTCTTGATTGGCTCAGCTCAGGTCATATACTCCCTTCTTCACTTTGGAGGCTGTAGGCCAGAAGAAAATGCCAGCCAGGGACAGTGGGTGATTCTTGGACTCCCAGTGTCACCAAACGGGACAAGGAGTGTAAAGCAAGGACATTTTTCTTCATGTCGATACCCCTAATGGGATGCACCCAGCTTTCATTGTCCCAGTGGTTGATCACCATTTAGAGACCTTGACTAAGAGCAAGAACACCTTTTCCAATTACTTCTGGCCCTCCATCCCACTCCCTGCCAGCAGCTTTTGACTTAAGTTTGTTTAGGGAATGAGAAGGGGACAGAAAATTCCGGCCTGCTAATGGGCCAGCAGGGGAGTTGAGGAATGCTACACGCAGATTTGACATGGATGCTTGCTTGCTACGCATGCTTTCATGGTGACTCATTCATTTGTTCCTTAGATTCATTCATTGCAATCAGACTGATTATGGCCAGTAGCAATAGCTCTAATCCAAACCTGTAAGAGCATAGGCAGGAGGATCATGAGTTCGAGGGCAGCCTGGGAAATTGGATAAGATCCTGTCTCAAAAATCCATAATCTGGGGCTAGAGATGTAGCCATCAGTTGGCAAATTGCTTCTCTGACATGCACAAGGCCCTGTGTTGGGGCCCCAGCACAGCATAAATGCAGGCATGTGTGATGTGTATAGGTGAGGACAAGCATGGCTGCAGCATGTGTGTAGACGGAACCAGTTCTTTCCTTCCACTGTGGGTTCTGGAGATCAAACTCAAGTCATAAGGCTTGTGTGGCTGAGCCATCTCTCTAGCCTGATTTAGTTATTACCTGAGTCACAATGCTGTACATTGGTCCTCCAAAACATGGACACCTTATGCTGCAGGTGTATACCCTTTGACCCACATCTTCCTCTGTCTCTCCTCCCAGCTCCTGGTACCCATCATTCTTCAATTCTTTATTTCTAGAATTTGACTTCTTGAGATCTCACATGAAAGTGACATCCCTTGATTTGTCTTCCTGAGTCTAGTTTATTTCCATTTTTTTTTTTTTTCTGAGACAGGTTTTTCTGTGTAGCCCTGGCTGTCCTGGGGCTTTGTCTGTAGGGCAGTCTGGCTTTGAACTCAGAGAGACCCCCCTGCCTCTGCCTCCCAAGTGCTGGGATTAAAGGTGTGCGCCACCACCACCCAGCCTGTTTCATTCATCTGAATGTCCTTCACGTTCATCCATGTTGTAAGCAGCAGGATTTCTTTTTTCTTCATTTTTCTCACAGCTGGGAATTGAACTCGTGTGATCTCACACCATTTTCCGGCCTCTTTTTTTTTTTTTTTTTTTTTTTGAGACAGTCTCCAGAAGTTGCTCCTGCTGGCCTGGAGCTCGCCATCCTCCTGCAGTCTGGCTGATAGACAAGGGCAGGAAAACCCCGTTTTTTGTTGTTTTGTTTTTTTGTTTTTTCGAGACAGGGTTTCTTTGTGTAGTCCTGGCGGTCCTGTAACTCACTCTGCAAACTAGGCTGACCTTGAACTCACAGAGATCCACCTGCTTCTGCCTCCCGAGTGCTGGGATTAAAGGCGTGCGCCACCAACGCCCGGCTGAGAATCACTGTTTTTAGTCATGGAACTTTCCTTTCTTCTTCATGCTTACAGTCTAATGATGAGGTACAGACCCTATTCCAGTTCTGAAAAAATTGTTCAGGGCAGAAGTCCATGAGGTCTGTACCAGCCTTCATCTTCATCTTCATCTTCCTGGTGGCAACAGTCTTCAGTGATGATCCATCTGTTTCTCCAGGGAAAGGAACACAGGTGTGGAAGAAGAGCGGTGCTATCTATGAAGGGGACTGGAAGTTTGGAAAGCGAGATGGCTATGGCACCTTCAGTCGTCCAGACCCAGAGACTGGAAAGTACAGAAGGGAGTACTCAGGCTGGTGGAAAGGGGATAAGAAATCGGTGAGCAGTTCCCAGCATGCCTTGTCTCTGTCTCTGTCTCTGTCTCTCTCTCTCTCTCTCTCTCTCTCTCTCTCTCTCTCTCTCGGGGGGGTGGGAGGTGGACCTAGAGCCAGGAGGACCAGTGGTGGTTTGGTGGGTAGGAGAAGGAAGGGGTGGGGCAGTTGTAATGCTTCTCAAAACAAAACCAAGAAAACAGGAAGCAAGAGAAGTGGGTGCCTGAGGGAGGTACCCTTTAAACACTCTATGGCAGCAGGCAAGGTCTCCTCCACCCTCTTCCCCCTTATTTCCTGGCTTTCTTCTCCCTGGTACTCCATTCTGAGACTTCCCCTGTTGCTCTAAGTCAGATGGAAGGTTAGGAAGCAGGGTGTAACAGGTCAGGTGCAGGCCACCAATCTCGGCATTCTGAAGGTGGAGGCAGGAGGATAGTGAGTTTGAGGCCAGTCTGGGCTACATAGAGAGACCATGACTAGAAAGGGACCAGGGTAGAAAACAGGGAGAGTCCATACCCTTGGCCATAGGGCAAGAGAGGAAGAAGCGGGTAGAAGCTAGCTAGTGGGGAATCCTCTGTCCACAAACATCCATACTACTGCAGATATATTCACTCTAAAAACTCGGAAGAATGCCTGCTATGGTGTCTGATAATGGTAACAGTGTTGCTATTGGGCAGTTACTATTCGTGATACTTGGAATTGACTCTTGTAACAACTCATCATCATCAGTATTCCCTTTTACTAAGAGACAAGCTAACCAAATTTCAGAGCCCAAGATTTCACTTTCTTTGCTCCTAGTGGGAAGACTGAGCCTAAAGCAAACGATTTGTATTTAATGAAGCGTTAACAGTGGTTTCCCTGGGCTTGGGAGATCCTATCATCTAGCCTAGAAAATACAGGAGGTCATACCCAAAGGAGCAAGGAGTGAACCAGGTAGACAAAGGGCAGGAAGAAATAAAAAAGATGAAGAACAGCACATCTTGTGTGCCCTGAGTAGGGAAGAGAACAGTGAAGTAGCCTTGGGGTTTTGAGGTACAGACTTAGGCTACTTAACCCAGGCACATTGAGTGTGATGTCCAGCGGTTCCTGATTTCCTGCAGTTGGTCTCCAAATGGCACATTTATGTTTCTAAGTTGACAATTAAGGTCATCGATTGAAATCAGAGTTGGATAGGTGATCCTATGGACTACAAAATATCCTTCTGGTGGCTGTATGGAGGGTGTACGGAAGAGGGGCCAGAGATAAGGGGACTACAGAAGAGAGGAAACAGATGCAGGCTGTAGGAAGCAAGTGCACCATACATGCAGCTAGAATTCTAGAATTCTTTCACTTTTGCTTGGCTGGCTGGCTGGCTACATGAGGAAGCTGGGTGTGAGACTTGGGTAACCTGGCAAATGGTGGGACTTCTTCCTGCTTTCAGGGCTATGGGATCCAGTTTTTCGGACCCAAGGACTATTACGAGGGTGAGTGGTGTGGCAACCAGCGCTGCGGGTGGGGACGCATGTACTACAGCAATGGCCAAATCTACGAGGGCCAGTGGCGAAACGACAAGCCTGAAGGGGAGGGCATGTTGCGGCTGAGTGAGTGCCCCTCCCTGTGAAACCACGCCCCAACGCTTCTTGGCCCCGCCCCGTCCCGGAAAGATCTCGCCCCAGATTCACTGCCCCACCAGCCATTTCCCATTAACCCCAGCCTTGTTGGCCTTGAAAAAGTGAGATTCCAGCTTTCAATGAGATCCAGCTTAGCTGAGGCCTTGGGTCAGCTGGGCGGGCTTTAGCGGTCATTTCTGTACGCCCCTATACTCCTTAGTCAAACCTGCCTTCAGTGAGCCTCCACTATGCGTTTAGTGTGCAAAGCAAATGTTCTAGGCATTTCATTTTTCATGACCTGGACTCTGGGCATGCTTGCATGAATTCAGATCCTGGTGTGAACCGGTACTAGCTTTGGGACCCCAGGTAGTTTGCTTGAACTGTGCTTCGGTTTCCTTGTGGTTAACATTTTGTGATTAAAGTTTTTACAAATGAGAGGGCCTGTGAGACCGGCTCAGTGAGTAATGGTACTTCCACACAGACCGGACCATCTCAGTCTGATCCTGGATCCCAGAAGGTGGGAGGAAAGAATCAACTCCCCAGAGCTGTGCTGTCACTGATGCATGTGTTACAAATGCACCATAATATACAAGTTCCTGCACTTAGCACAAACACTAAAAGAAGTAAAAATGGAAAATGAGAGAATTGTCCCTAATAGCTGGGATCAGTAGCCTTGCTCCGACTCGGAGGCTAGCCTGTGCTAGCTAGGTGGCAAAATAGTGTTTCAAAAGATAAAACTCCTAGCATTTGGGAGTTCGAGGCCAGCCTGGTCTACATAGCTACATAGAAACCCTGTCTCGGGGATGTTGGGGGTGGGGGTGGGGGTGGGGTAAAACTCATGTGGCTTTCATCACAGGACTTGGGAGGCAGAGGCGGAGGCAGAGGCAGGTGCAGCTCTGAATTCCTAGTCTACATAAGGAGTTTCCAGCCAAGGCTTGGGGGTCTAGCATGCTCAAAGCCCCTGGCCCTACTAACAAAACGAAATAAAATAACAAAAGCAATGATTAAAAGAAAAAAAACCAACCCCTTCCCCACACACACACAAACTGGAGCTTAGAGTTGTAGCTTAGAGGCTGAGTAAGTACATGCACCAGGTTCTGTCTCCAACACCAAAAAATAAAAATCTCTTGAAGTGGTTGAGGTTAAATGTTAAACACCTTTATGTTGGTGTTGAGCTGGACCTGACACCTACTGTCTAGTGCCTAATGACTTGCTAGCACACCCTTGTGAGCAGCTAGGACTACTGAGGCCCAGCAAGATAGTCTTGCCTGCTTCCCTGGCCCAGCACCCATGCTTTCCTGTCCTTTCTCAAGAGAATGGCAACAGATATGAGGGCAGCTGGGAGAGAGGCATGAAGAACGGACATGGGCGTTTCTTTCACCTGGACCACGGGCAGCTGTTTGAAGGCTTCTGGGTGGACGACGTGGCTAAGTGTGGTACCATGATTGACTTTGGCCGTGACGAGGCCCCGGAGCCCACCCAGTTCCCCATTCCTAAGGTGAGTGAAGCCAGAAAGACAGAAACCAGCATCCACAGCCCCACAAGTCCTGGAGCTATAGATGTGGCTTTGTTTGCAAGCAAGGTAGCCTGGGGCCTTACAACCAATCCCCTCCCACTACTGCCCTCCAGGTAGAGATTGAAGACCCAGACGGTGTGCTGAGGGAAGCCATAGCTGCACTGATGAACTCAAAGAAAGAAGAGGACTGATTGCAGGTGAGAAGATTGCCATCGCTGATGAGGCTGAGGCAGCTCTGGGTCCCTGAACAATGCTGATCTATCTCCCAGTATCACTGAAGGGCTTGGGGCAAGACCAGAGAGAGAAAACTTTTTGCCTCCCATAGTCCAGCTTAGTTACTCCTCTTTGAAACTCATGTCCCTAGAAGACCAAGTGCATTCCAGGCCTGCCCAGATCTCTTCAGTTGCATTCTCAGCCTCCTGAGTTGAAGTCAGGTGCCCTGACCCTTCTAAAGACCCTTAAATAAGGCTGTAGGCCCTAGGCCTACACTGACACAGCTGTTTGTGGGGCCCTTGTCTGGGGTGGCTGTGAGGGTGTTGGTGACTGTGTTTCTAATAGTTCCAGCGTCATCCCCACCTATACAGAGAGAGCATCAAAGCTCAGGAGAAACACCAGCCCTTGTCACCAAACTGCTCAGACCAGTACAGCTCCTGCAGGAGGAGCAAGCAGCAACTCTGGGCACGCCTTTGGCTCCCTCAGAGGGCACCCACTCCTCCAGACACTAGGTTATTCTTTGCCAAAGGAAGTGAGGTATTGCTTCTCCATGGCTGGCCTTGGGAACCCACTGCATTTGCCCTATGGCTTTAAATCAGAGTGCATGAAAATAAAGAAGAAACTCGTGGCCTTGTACCAAGGCTTGAGCGGGGTGGGGGAAATCTGAGGGAGAGGAAAGGCAGCCTCACCAACTGTGTGGGTCATCCCCCTATACATACCATGTGTGATGTGTGTGTGTGTGTGTGTGTGTGTGTGTGTGTGTGTGTGTGTGTAGGGGAGCTGAGGATTCCAGACAGGGGAGCAAGGAAGTGGCTTCCTCTCTAGCACCTCTGAGCTAGCCCAGAGAGCAGGGTGAGCCTGCCCTCTGCCACAATGGCCACCAAGATCTGGGATTAAAGCAGGTCCCCACCTCCTTAGCCTAAGGCAGGAATCTCAAGGAAGCTTTAAAAGCCATGAGTACACAGGATAGTTTTGGCAGCTTGGTGCCCTAAATAACAGGTACTTGGAAGCAGAGGCAGTTGAATCTCTAAGCTTGAGGCCAGCCTGGGCTACACACTAAGTAGAGGCAGCATTGTGAAATCTTGTGGTTAAAAAGACAGTGGTTTAAAACCACCTAGGATTCTTGCTCTCCCCTAGCTCCTTGGGGACATTTAGTTATGCTGGGAGACACTCTGGTTGTCATGGTGGACAGAGAAGACTGCTACTGAAATCTTAAGAGCAGGGATGCTGTTAAACGTGCTATGCTTTCTAATTTTTTTGTTTGCTTGTTTGATTTCCCAAGAGGAGGTTTCTCTGTGTAACAGCTCTGGCTGTCCTAGAACTCCTTTGTAGATCAAACTGGCCTGGAACTCAGAGATTCATCTGTCTCTGCCTTCATTGTTACATTGTAACAGACTACAAAGGAATGATTCAGCTCTGTAAAGCTCTCAGCAAATGCCCCAAAATTAGTGAGGCATGGTGGCTCACACCTGTAATCCTAGTAAACTCTGGGGATGGAGTGAAGGGAATCATTAAGGGCTTGACACCAGCAGGGCGTTGGTGGTGCACGCCTTTCATCCCAGGGCTTGGGAGGCAGAAGCTGGTGGATCTCTGTGAGTTTGAGGCCAGCCTGGTTTACAGAACTAGTTTCAGGACAGCCTCCAAAACAATACAGAGAAACCCTGTCTCGAAACACCGCCACTGCCCCCTCCCCCAAAAAAGAGGACTTGACACCGCCTGGACTTAATAGTGAGTACAAGGAGAGCTTCAACAAAACAGAAAAGCTCGATGGACTGTGGTGGTGCACACCTTTAATCCTAGCACTGGGGAAGCAGAGGCAGGGGCGGGCAGCTCTCTGAGAGTTTAAGGCAAGCCTGGTCTACAGAGCAAGTTCCAGGACAGGCTCCAAAGCTATACAGAGGAAACCCTGTCTTAAAAAACCAAACCAAACCAAAAAAACCAGAAAAGCACACACTGACATTATGAGGTTCTCTTTGCCCCTAAATTCTAAGTATGATGACTTGCTTCAAGGTATGTGGTATTGACTCCAGCATGTAGGATCAACATAACTACAGGTGCTAAATGCTTACTCTGTACCAGGCTCTGTGTGGACAGCTTCAGTTGCCTCTCGTGACTCCATAATCTGTGAGGTGACCTATGGCTCTCTTCTATTTTAGTAATGAACTATAGAAATGATCCCTGACGCCGGGTGTTGGTGGCACACACCTTTAATCCCAGCACTTGGGAGGCAGAGGCAGGTGAATCTCTGTGAGTTCGAGGCCAGCCTGGTCTCCAGAGCGAGTGCCAGGATAGGCTCTAAAGCCACACAGAGAAACCCTGTCTCGAAAAACCAAAAACCAAACAAACAAAAAAAGATCCCTGAAAGTATAGTCTTTCTCTGCTATCTTAGAAGAAACAGGTTGTAAGCCCCCAAGTTAATACTTGCCTAATCTTATTGTTTTGGTTTTTGGAGACAGGGTTTCTCTTTGTAGCCCTAGCTGTCCGGGAACTCACTTTGTAGACCAGGCTGGCTTTGAACTAAGAGATCTGTCTGCTTCTGCCTCCCAAGTGCTGGGATCAAAAGTGTGCACCACCATTGCTCAGGGGTATATATTCCTTTAAGTTATTTTTGTGTATGCCTGCATGTATGTGTACCATATGCATGCCTGGTGCTCAAGAAGGAGTTACAAATGGTTGTGAGCTACCACATGGGTGTGGAGAATCTAAACAGGGTCCTCTGGCAGAATAGCAAATGCTCTTACCTGCTGAGCCATCTCTCTAACCCAGTTCTCTATATTCTTAGACAGTGTATAGATAAAAGGTGGTGTACACCTTTAATCCTAGCATTTGGGAGGCAAAGACAGGCAGAACTCTGCGAAGCCAGCCTGGTCTACATAGACACCCTGCCTCAAAAAAGCCGTAGGGAGCCAGGCGTTGCTGGCACATGCCTTTAATCCCAGCACTCAGGAGGCAGAGGCAGGTGGATCTCTGTGAGTTCGAGGCCAACCTGGTCAGGCTCCAAAACAACAGAGAAACTCTGTCTCAAAAAACAAAAACAAAACAAAGCCGTGGGGATTGAGAATACATTTGTTTATAAAAGCAATAAACAGGCAACAGTGGTCACTTCTGGAGACAACTGGGGACTTGGGAACAGTATTGAAGAACAAATCATGTCCCATCCCATGTTCTCCCCACCCCACCCCAGACAGGGTTTCTCTGTATAACCTTGGCTGTCCTGGAACTCACTCTGTAGACCAGGCTGGCCTTGAACTCAGAAATCTGCCTGCCTCTGCCTCCTGAGTGCTGAGATTAAAAGAGTGTGCCATCACCATTGCCTGGCTTAAGAACAACTTTTGACTGTTGAATCTGGAAGCAAGTGAATAATCCACTGTACCCCAAATAAAAATAAAGCCGAAGCATGGAGACCATGCTTTTATTTAATCATCTCCTTTGGTGTTGGGATGGAACACAAAGCCTGTGGTAAGCTAAGCAAATGCTTTACCACCGGGCTACGCCTCAGCTCTGAGCCTAAGCTCTCAAGGAGTATTTACTCAAGGTGCCTGGGTACTTGTTAGAAATCTATTCTAGAAACATACCCAGACCAACTTGTCAACCTGCATCAGCTCATAGGGGATGGTGATGTTTGGGGATCTACATTCTATAAGTCAGCCTGGTGTTTCTTAATCCAGACACATTCAGGAAACAAAACATTAGACTTCAGTCAACGTCCAGGACTGATTCTAGCAGGATCCTGGGGTTCTGCAGAAGCAGGAAGGTGACTTAATATGCAAGTGATATCCAGGCTTCTCTGGCGAGCAGAGGTAGCACTGGGGACCCTCCCCAGGTGTACTCAGCATCTCTTGAGGATGGTCCTGGTGTATAAGATGTTGAGATGCAAGGTGGATGCAGTGTGATGGGAGCAGGACAAACACTAGGCCCCCAAACTACTTTATAGGGTCTAGGGATATAGCAGTAGTAAGATGTTTATTATGCATAATGCCCTAGGTTTGAGTCTCAGCACCATTAGAAAGAAGGCAAACAAAACCACTTTATATATTACAGTTCCAGGACAGACATATCTCAAACTCAGGGCCTGTGGGAGTCAGGTAAGTAATGTCTTAAAAATGGCATTTATTGTGTGTGGCTGTGTGTCCAAGTTCCATGTTGCATGTGTGGAGGTCTGGGGAATGTACTTAGGTGGTCAAACTTGGGGCAGCGCCTTTTCCTGCTGAGCCATCTAACAGCCAAGGGAAGTCACATCAAGTGGCCTAGTGTGACAAACAAGAGGGAGTGGTGGCGACCGTGACAAAGATAGGTCCTAGGTAGTGGTGGCTAAAACTCAGTACCTGCTCATTGTAGCTCTGCAATGCAGGCCCAGGACCCTGGGCCTTCCCATTCTTCAAGCAATGCCAAAACTTGCTGAGTAAGATTCTTTCGAGGCCCTGAACTCTGAGCCATTTTCTGAGTTTGAGTCCTGGCAAGTTATTTGTGATAGATAGTTAATCTTCACTGTCAACTTGACTGGATTAGGAAAAACCCAGGGGATTAGTAAAGCACCTTGGGGGCTGTGCAAGCATTTCCAAAGACTTAGCTCACAAGGCCTCTGACCTGATCAATGGCAGGGAGTCATTCCTCTATGGCTTGTGCGACAGCATTATTGGGAGGTGGTGAAACATGGGAGGTAGCACTTGACAAGGTCACTGGATGTGTATCCTCAGGGACTGTATCTTGCTGTGGTCACTTCCTAGGTCCCCTTGTTTGACTCTTCTCTGCTGTGACATGAACTGATGTCTTTGTCATACCCTCTCCATCAAGATGGACTGACATCTCTGAGACCAAGTAGCTGAGATAAATGCTCTAAGTTGCCCCTTTTCACCCCACTACCTGGTCACACAAAGGCCTGCTACATTAACTTTCTTGAGCATCAATTTTGTTTCCTGCTCAGTGAAAACTATCATGCTGAGAATGCGAGGGTCCAATGAGCACCGCTTGGTTCTTAGTACATCCCACACATAATGGCTAACTAGCCTTAGTTTGTTGTTTCAGATGGATTGACACAACCTCAGACTATTCCTGCCAAAATGCACAATCTGATTATAACCATGAAAAAATATCAAGAGAAGCTAAACTAACAAGGCATTCTGTAAAAACACAAGTCTGGGCACTTGAAAAAAAAAAAATATATATATATATATATCTGAGTGGGACAGATGGCTGGGTGACAAAACAACCAGCTGCTCTCACAGAACACCCATCCACATTTTGTTCCCAGCACTGACATGGTGGTTTACAACTGCCTCTAAGTTCAGTTCTCAGACGATGTGACACCCTCTTCTGACCATCATTCATGCCTGTGGCACCCACACATACATCAATGTAGGCACTCACACAAGCACTTTAAAACAATGTTCATGTTGCTATAGGGATGTCACTCAGTTCCTAGAGAACCTGTTCACCATTCTGGGGGTGGGGGTGGGGCTCTGGATTTGTTTGTTCCCCAGCTCTGCATGACACCCGCTATGGCAGTATACCTGTCATCTCAGACAGAGCAGTATCAGCCATTCAAGGTAATCCTCCACTACACAGCAACTTCGTGGCTAGCCTGAGCTACATGAAACCTTTTTTTGATACAAGGTTTCTCTGTGTAGCCTTGGCTGTCCTGGAACTCAATCTGTAGACCAGGCTGGCCTCTAACTCAGAGCACTGACTCCAGAGCACTGGGATTAAAGAATCAAAGGCATGCACCACCACCTCCCAGGTCTCTCTTAAAATGTTTTATGTGTGTGAGTGTTGCCTGTATGTCTCGGAACCACATGTGTGACAAGTCCCCATAAAGGCCAGAAGAGGATGCTGATCTCCTGGAACTGAAGTTACAGATAATTGTGAGCTGCAACATAGATGCTAGACATCACACACAATATTCTTCTGGAATAGCAGCCGAGTGCTCTTAACCACTGTGCCATCTCTCCTACCCTGCAAAATACATATTCTTTAAATTCAATTACACCTAATACAGTGTAACATCTTTGGTTGTTGTTGTTTTTGTTTTTGGAGACAGGGTCTCTCTGTGGCTTTGGAGGCTGTCCTAGAACTAGCTCTTGTAGACCAGGCTGGTCTCGAACTCACAGAGATCCACTTGCCTCTACCTCCCGAGTGCTGGGATTAAAGGCATGCGCCACCAACACCCAGCTCAATGTAACATCTTAATCATGAAACAAAAATATTGTGACTAACTTTGAATTTCCCCTAGAATCAGTGGCTCAGTTTGTGTACACCAGTTTCTGACTCCTTTATAACTACTTCCAAAAGAAACAAATGGGTACACATTTTAACTACTGCCCATGAAGGTTTCTTTTGAGAAGAAAATCTCCAAACATGACTTGGAATATAGCTCAGTGGGAGAGTGCCTGGTCAAGTTCCTGGGTTCTATGCCCAGCAACATAGTTTTTGTAGAGTTGGTGGACTGAGCCCAAGGCTTTGGCTATATCAGGCTAGCGTTCTGTCCCTGAGCCCCTTCTCTAAATTTTTAAAGACTGTTTTGTGGCCCACCTGACTGGAACATCCTATCAGGCAGTCCAGACCCAACAAACAGACACGAGGAAGAGGTGTCCCTTGTGAGTATATTTTATGCATTACACACACACACACACACACACACACACACACACACACACACACACACCCCATAAACTGGGAAGGAGGCTGAGGAGGACAGGACAGGAAGCATCCGGGTGGCACTGGTGCGGGGGAGGAGAAAGGACAAAGAGAGCATCTGTCCCACACAGTCCCCCCACATCCTACCAGGAAGGGACCCAGAGCTGGAAGAACAGGGAGTGCTTATTCTCACAGAAGAAAGTCTCAAAGTGCAGTGATTTTTTTTTTTTTTTTAAACCTCTTCCCTCCACACTCTGCCCCGGTAAAGCCCAGTCGCCTGTGCAGGCTGTCCTCCAGTCTGGGCCAGGACAAGGTCATGGGGAAGGGCGTAAGGTGAAGCTCCACAGGCCAGTGGGAAGGCGAGGACTCAGGCATAATGGGTGCCAGGTGTCAGGGAATGGTCCCCTCTGTGGTCCAGCTGGTCCTGCAAGCGGGCAAACTCTGCCAGCTCGTTGAGCTCCTGGAACTGCCGGTCCGTCTTATGGCTGACCAGTGAACGGTAGAAGTGAACAGCAAAGACGATAAAAACCAGGCCACAGGGGACCATGATGGCAGTGGAGGCGATGGCCGCCGCCTCACCCGGGGTGATGCCACTGCTGCTGTTGGCGACGACAGCTGGTTCAGGAGGGCGCTTAGTGGGGCTTGGCTGGCCTGAGTGTCTCTTGAGGGGTAAGAACTTGACCCAGCAGAGCAGCACGACCTCAGCCAGGAAGAGCAACGTCCCGATGACCGTAGAGAAGGCCCAGGCCAGCTCGATGTGGCGGTGCATGCGCTCGTGGGGGGACTCTTTGACCGAGTTGAGGTTGTGGACATTACTCACAGCCTCGATGTTGGGGAGAATGCAGGTACTGATCATGAGTGCAAAGAGGTGCACGGCCACCAGCACCGTGGTACAGGCACTGAAGACAATGAGAAGCCCTGGTGGATAGTCATGGTCTGTATCCAGCTGGACTTCTACCATCGCCACCTAGGAGAGGGGGACAGGGAAGTGAGTGGCATGCCAAATCCGATTTCCCTTCTCACCAGACCTGTCACTTGGCCTCGCAGAGTCTCTGTTTCTGGGAATGAGAAAGTCTACCCACTGTGGGTAGAGAAATAGCAAAAACTACTGATGAGGACAGTAAGCATGGATCCATTAGCTCTGTGATCTTAGGAAGTCAGTGTCTCGGAGCCTTAACATATATAGAAAATAGGTGTGACCTATTAATTCATAGATATTTAACAACTGAGAGCTACGGTGTACAGTAAACATCTTCCAAATGGGAACGCTGCCATTGTCAGTGTTGATCATAGTGAAAATGGTGCAGTAAAGTATCATGCATACTGTAATTTTTTTGTGCTTTTTTTTTCAACAGGATCCCTCTGTGTAGCCCTGGTTGTCTTGTAACTCGTTCTGTAGACCAGGCTGGCCTTGAGATCCACCTGTCTCTGCCTTTCCTCTGTTCTTTCCTTCTCTCATGTGGATCCTGGGGAATCAAACTCAGGTCGTCAATCTTGGCAGCAGGCACTTTTGTTTTGTTTTTCAAGGCAGGGATTCTCTGTATTGCTTTGGAGTCCTGGAACTCACTCTGTACACCAGGCTGGCCTTGAACTCACTGAGATCCACCTGCCTCTGCCTCCTGAGTGCTGGGATCAAAGGCGTGCGCCACCACACCCAGCCTGGCAGCAGGCACCTTTACCTCTTTACCTGCTTCACTATTTCTGCAGACCAAGAAAACTTTAAAATACATTGAAAAAAAAAATGGCCAAACAGCCTTTGATCCCAACACTTGGGAGACACAAGAGGTGGGTCTCTGTGAGTTAGAGGCCAGCCTGGTCTATAGAGATAATACCAGGACAGCCAAGACTACACAAAGAAACCCTGACTCAAGAAACCAAATGGATAAATAATAAATCAGGGCTGGAGAGATGGCTCAGCAGTGAAGAGCACTGGCTGCTTTTACAGAGGACCTGGGTTCAATTCCCAGCACCCACATGGCAGCTCACAACTATAACTCTAGTTCCAGGGAATCTGACACCTTCACACCAATGCACATAAAATAAATTTTAAAAAAAATCACTGGACAGTGGTGGCACACACCTTTAATCCAAGCACTTAGGAGGCAGAGACAGGCAGATCTCTGAGAGTTCGAGGCCAGCCTGGTCTACAGAGAAAGTTCCAGGACAGCCAAAGCTACCCAGAGAAACCTTGTCTGAAAAAAAAAAAAAAATCCACTATTCCATTTGGACCCTCACTGTTATATCAAAACAGGACTCTATTTCATGTCCTGCTCTGGGGACAAGGAACAGGTTAGAAGCTGGAGATGGATGTGATGGTCTTCCCATGTCACATCTTGGCCCATTCTAAGAACAAAATGCACAGGCCAACAAGGAACTGAGAGGCTTCTTGGTACACACAGGCTCAACACAGTATCTTGTCTGGCTCGACAGCCAGCAAGCCCCAGGGCTGTCTCCATCAGGGCCAAGACTCTCACACCAGTCGCTTCCAAGTTTCGTGGATTTGGGGTTACCAGGGGCATTCTGGGTCTTGCAAATCACCCTCATGTAAAGGAGCCAGCTCATCAGATTTGGGCCAGGAGCAACAGGCAATTGGGTACATTGCCAGGGTCTGCCCATGTGGGCTGGAGGATCAAGGACAACAGAGATGGGAAATGACACTATCATGAAGGGAGGCTGGGGAATGTAACCCAGTACATTCCCAAGCACGAATCCCTCTGTCCAGTCCCCAACACTGTTATAAACTATGTGTGGTGGTTCATGCCTATAATCTCAGCACTGGGAAACCAGAGGCAAGAGGATGAGAAGTTCAAGGTCATCCTTTGCTACATGGCGAGTTGGACAGCCTGAGCTACGAGACCCAGTCTTTAATAAAACAAAATGGTAAATGGGGTGGGTTTTGTCTGAGTTAATCCATACCAAATACTTGTTTTGTGGGGGGCACAGTGAAACCAGTAAAAATGGGTTTTATTAGTACTTAGTTTTAAACCTTCATTCCCAAACCTGTCTACCTGAAATCCTGTGGTTCCTACCCTCCTGCTGGAGGGAGAGGCAGGTCAGCCCTGGACCTGGCTCTCAAGTCAGAGCCATCAAGTCTCGAGTTTTGGTCCATACCCAACTCTCTCTGTAAGACTGGAGGGGTGAGACTACGTTCAGAGCAGAGATAGCCCAAGAATCTCAGGAAAGGAGTGGATGCCAGCAGTGAAACAGCCCAGTTTATATATTCCCAAGACTTTTCAGAACATTTCAGCACGATTTAAAGGCTTTTGCCTAAGAATTGCCACAACTAGCAAGGATAAGGATGCTCCCGCCTGAGAATTATATGAGATGTTTCAAGTTCATGTAAATTTGGGGCACTGCCATGAGGATTTTGACCGTTGTTAAGATTCCCTGGTGGCCTAATGCCAACCCTGAGAATTATTCTGAGCCCATGCGGGCAAGATAGCCAGGCAACTCAGTGCATGCGGGTGAGAGACAGGAACACCACAGCAAGGCAAGGCACATCCTAAGGCTCTGACCCAGTCACTATTCCTACCTGGAAAAGGTCAGTACCCTCAGCAGCAACACCTCCTGCCACCTCCCCACCCCCATACTTCCTCTTCCTGTTTTTGTCTGCCAGTCTGGGAACCTGAAACCTGAGAAAGGACAAGTAGGGGAGGCTGGTGGAGTAGCCCCAGGTACACTGGGGTGTAGGGGAATGTGCAGAACTGTTCTGTGGGTCTGGTGTTGGGGGTATTTATGGTCAGGTTTGTGTGCTCTTCTGCACCCCAGAAACCTCCACATGCCACACCACTCCCCTCTGTAGTGTTCAGCACACAGACCCACAACACAAGCTGAATGTGAAACCTGTGCTTCAGCTTACAAGGCTGGTGATCCGGACAAGTATTTAAACTCTTCCACACCCCAGTTTTGGCATTCATAAAATGGAGGCCTGCTTATGACTGGTATGAATTTCCAGAGCTAGTGAGCACAAAATACCCTTTAAACATGACCCGACTTATGATAAAGTTTATAGAGTATCAATAGTTGTTATCATTGTTGTGCAGAGGCTGTAGCTCAGCAGGAGCATCCTAGCCTAGTGTGGTGAGGCCCATGAGCATACACACAGAAAGACAGACAGACAAGACACATTCATTACTCATTTTTAAATAAGGAAACTGGCTCAGAGAAATGAGATCCATTGCAGAAAGGAAGCTATCCTGTCCTAGGGTAGGATAGGGGGAACTCATAGCCACTCTAAAGCCTGTGTGTAATGAGGGTGCGCCTTGGTCGTTGCTGAGGTTAAATGAGGTTTTGATATGTAAATGTTTAGCACAGCAGCCACAGGAGAAGCTCAATAAATCTTAGTTAAAAAGAAAAACAAAGAGCTAGAAGTGGGAGAGGAAAGGGGTGGACTCCCCAGGCCTGCACACTATTTCTCACTAGGAGCCTGGTGTGTCTCTTTCTGAGACAGCACTAGCTGTCCCCCTGATGTGGGCATTTGAGGCAAGTGTACTCCACCCAAGACCTGGCCAAGTGACCATCTCTGCAGGACAGCACCACCAGGGCCATAAAACCTAGCTGAGGCACACATGGTCTAGGGACACCAAAAGTCAGTATCCTCACAGCCTTGTGAGGCTGAGAGAAGGCTGACGTCCCCAAGGAAGAGGAAGGGCCTGCTGCCCGCTGTGTTCTGGAAGAAACCCCATTTCCCTCATCTACCATTCCTGGAAGTCCAACACAGGCTGGCCATATGCACCATTGCCACATGTAGGACCAAGTTCAATGCCACAGGCTACACACAAGAAATGATTTTGAATGAGGAGTAAGGGGTGGCTGCCATAAATCATGAACCCTGATGAAAACTGTTCACAGGCATAAGAGTCATCTTCCAGTATGATTCCCACCAGGGTTATGTCCCACAGGGTCAGGGAGTAAGTCAGGGGAGGCCTGGCAGAATCTGGCAGCTGACATCCGGGGCCTCAGCAGTGTCCCAGAGAGAGCACATCAGATCAGATTGCATGCAGCTTCACAAGGTAAATATAGCAGGGAGCAGGACTGTTAACCCAAAATAAACAGCTCCTAGCCAGCCAGCAGGCCTCCACAAACCCAGCTGGACAGGGCCTAACGGGACAGAAGGGCTAGACCACAGGCCCCAAGTCACACCAGTCTACGGAGCCTCACAGGAGATATTGGGGATCCTAGATCTGAAGCAAAGGCTGAAGATTATCGATCCTGGTAAGGCCCAGCTGACCTGGCCAGGCATGTGCCCACCTCACTTGAACACCAACCACCTCTTACCTTCCTGCTGGGCTCCATGGAGACCCTGAGCACCTGGCAATCCCGGTACTTTAGAGAGCCCCGTCCCTTGCTATTCCCAACCCCTCTCCCACAGTGGGAAACATGGCTTTCCCCCCACCCAGCTCCTCCAGTCAGTTATCTTCCAGATAGCTGCAGCCGTGGGGAGACCCCCAAGCCTCAGTCACACGTGTTTCACTGAGTTGTCTTCATCTGCTAACTCCATCCCAAATGCAGACCCTCTACTGAGAGAGATCTGAATCCAGTCCCATGGTTTACAAACTCTCTTGACCACGGCAGTCCAGTACTCGAAATGTTTCTAAAAATAGACATGCACTCTTTTTTATGAAACAGAAACAAAAGTTCCACTGAGCACCACTTACTCCTGAAGCCCGCCAATGCAGTCCATCCTTACAAGCTTGTGCTCACTTCCGTCCTCTCCCCTTGTAGTTCAAGTATTAAAATTTTTACTGAGAATTCCTGAGATGGTAGTTATCACCTCCCATTCTGAAGGAGAGTCAGTACTGTAGGAAATCAAACCTGTCCCAACCCTCCCCCGCCACTCCAGGGCAAACCCTCCTAAAGGGTTGGTATTCAGTCTTCCTCAATCCAAGAGGGCAGGTGCAGAAGGACCACCACATGATACTTGGGTCAGGGTGGGGTGTGCTGGACCCCCTAGCTGGCTCCTGAAAA